GGGTGGCGTGGAATGGGGTCAGGCTGGAAGAACACTTCCATGCTGCAGGAATTTCCTGGTAGCTGCTCTTGAGGGGTTTTGGGGTGATCTGAGGCGGGTTTTGATGCTAGATCAGAGAATTTGGGGAGGGGTTTGCTAATAGAGCAGGTTCCTGGTTGTTGCTGATCGTGTCTATGATGCAGGTGACTTCAGGTGTCATCTCCTGCCCCATGTATTACAAAGGGGGAAAGCAAAGCCTTAAATGTGAGCCACAGACCTGACAGTTGGTATCAGCATCAGTTCGAGCTCCTGAGGTGGCATCTCCTCTCAGGAGCCACTCACTTGACCACTTCTGGAGCAACCATGTCATTGGGAGGGATTCATGGAAGCGGCTCAAGGGGAGTGTTTGTCCTCTCTTCCCAGGGTGAGAATCCTTTCACGGATGACCCAGAAGAGAAAGAGGAGCATGAGGAAGGAGAAGGAGGAGCCAGTGGAAATGTAGAGGAAGGAACAGCAGAAGGAGCAGATGAAAACAAGGATGAGGAGGAAAATGCAGAGGAGGAAAATCCAGAAGAGGAAACCCCTGAAGAAAACGCAGAGGAAGAAAATCTGGAAGAGGAGAATCCAGAGGAGGAAAATCCAGAGGAGGAAAACAAGGATCCCAAGGAGAACCTGGAAGCAGAAGGTGCTGGGAATGAGGGGGAGCGAGAAGAAACAGGGACAGAGACAACTGAGGCACAAGCACAACCAGAGGTGGAGCCAGCTGCCGGGAACATGGAGGAGCAGAATTCCCTGCCTCTGGAAGAATCCCTCCCCGAGGAGGAAGAGCACCAGCCAGTAAAAGAGGAGGAGGAGGAGAGTGAGGAAGCTGCTGCAGCACAAGAGGAGGAAGATGGGGATTAAACTCTGGAGGGGGAAATGATGTGGGAAGGACCTGATGTATTTGGGGGGTTTTAACCCATAACTGTACCTGTGAATTCCATAGCACATGTTCCAAGTTCTCATCCCACACAGGCAGTGGAAGCCTTTCCCTGTAAAGTGATTTGGGGGGGGAATAGAGGGGTTGTTTTTAACCAAACCTTGAGTTTTGGGCACTGGGGGGTTGTGTGTGCTCTGGTTTGTAGCTGCCTGTGTCCCGGGAGCGCTTCCTACTCCAGAGGGTGGCAACAAAACCTCTTCTCATCCCCTTGAATTGAAACCCTCTCAACAACAATGTGGTTTGTCCCTTTGTCTGGAAACATCAGGAATTCTGTCCTGGGCTTTTAATTTCTGCCTCTCAACTCCCCCGTGGCTGTAATATCCCCCCTGATGTTTTATTGTGCCGAGGAAACTAAGTGGTGTCAACGTTGTGTTGTTTGTAAAACACTTGGATCTTCAAGGTGAATGTGGAGATAAAAGGACTGTCCTGAGCTTCCCTGTGGCTCTGCCTTCATTTCTGGTGCCCTGGACAAGGTTGGAGGCTTAGAACCGGGCTGCAAGCACCGTGTCCCGGTTCACTGCGGGCTCAGTTTTCCTCTCTTCATTCAGCATTCCAGCTCCTCACTCGTAGTAAAGGTGTGCTTGAAGCTGTCATCAGTTGTTAATCATCACCTGGAGCATGGATCCTCTTTCTTGGAATGAGGAAATTAGTTTCCATGACACTTAGAGGTTATTCCTGAGGTTAGTCCTGCTGCGGAGAGAAGCAGTTGGGAGCTTCCCTGCAGGATGGGTTGAGGGATAAGGATGTGCTGAGCCTTCAGTTGCTGTTACCACGCCATGTCCTGGCTTTACAAAGTCCAACTTGGTGTAAAGTGGTTGTACAAGAGAAGTTTCCCCCAGCAAAGGAGGTTTCAGCACAACGGGAAGACAAAGTAAGACAGCTCCTGACTTCAAACCTTCGGAAGGTGGGATCGAGAGAAGGATGAGATGAGCTCCGAGAGGGACCATTCCCCCTCCTCCTTCCACACCAGGGCAATCCA